TCTTTTGCAGGTGGAAAACCCAAACCCGAGCCTTACGGAAGGCCGCATGCCTCCCAAGGTCTGCAAATTTTGGGCCAGAAGCCAAAGCTTCGAACTGCTCATGACCTGAGTTGGCTTCGGGATTTTATCGGTTTTTCGTTGGGAGTTCACCAGGGTTCTAGAAAGGGGTTTAGGGGTGTAGGGCTTCAGGGCCGGAAAGCTTAAGGTATTTTATGCTGTGGTGCTTTAAAGCTTCAAGGCCCTATGCCTGCAGGGTATGATACGGGGATTTCGGGTTACAGGCTGGGTGAACACGGTGTAGAGTTGCAGAAGCTAGGGGTTTTGGTGGGTTCAGGGCTAGAGGACTACGGCGTTTGGCTTTGCTGGGCTTCGAGTTTACGGTTCCGTTGGGCAGCCGCTGATACTTCTCTGTGTCTGCAGCTGGGTGAGGATTGCAGCGCCACTCACTTACACCTTCGACAAGCTTTAGCCTACGAAGGCTTCGTAAAGCATGTCAGCAGGGAAGCGAAGTTCAGCTTCCGCCAGTGAGAAGTGGCGCTGAACAGAAGAAGCACAGAAGTCTTGCGAATTTCGAGTCACGGCTTAGCGTTAATAGGACTGAGGGACTTGATATCCCCAGCCAACTGAAAAAACAAAACGTTGAAGCTGTTAAACCCTGGGCTGTGGTAGGTATTACTTGTGTCCAAGGAGCTTCCAGCTCCTGTGGCTGCTTCAAGAAGGCAGGCGGTGGCAGGGAAGGTGGCTCCTCGCCAGTCCCAGCAGAGATGCTGATTGGTATAGTTTCCAGTACAAGCTGAAACGTTGACATCGGCCCGATGCCCTTTCCTCGGAACTCTAGAATCTCTATAGAACACCAAAGCCTGTAAGTACATGTTCTTCTTTTCGTGTTTTGCTTTTGACTCGCAAGCTACGGTTTAGGCTTCAGGGTGTTTTTTCCCTCTCGCATAGCTAAGGATCAAAGCCCACAAGCGAGGTCGGACGTGAGTACACTATGATTGGCAGCTCAGGATGTTGAAGAGGCCCAGACCTTTCAAGCCCTAGTTAAGCCTGCGGGGGTCTGTAACCCTGACTTCAACATCTCAGGAATTAGGCATGTCACGGGCTCCAACTAAATTACAACAGTACAACCGACTTGGGGGTTCAGAGCCTTATGTGACAGGTCCGAAACTAGCGCCCAGATAAGACTAGGCGACGAATCCTCCACCAGTTAGCAGAGTCAGCACAAGAACAAATTTAAAGGAAAGGTGCAATGTACGCAGCAAAATAGCTGGGGGTTTCCGGAAACCCAAAAGGCGCCACCAGTAGAGGTGGCAATCTCTTGCCATGGCCGAGGGCTGGGCCGGCAGCGGCGGCACTGAGGGCGCAGGGGCTTTCAGCCGGAGGCCCGTGCGAATCTGCATGGGGCAATATAGGGCTGCAAAAGGGCATTTTGTTGTGCACAGTTTTATCCGACTGTACAGAGTCTGAGAAGCGACTTTCGCTAGGTCTTTGAGGCTTCGGGTGCCGTGTCGAGGTTGAGGCTTCCGCTCTTCCAGTTGTTTTGTCAAGGGTTCTGCGTCCTGGGCTTCACCCAGAGCTCGACTGCAAGATGCGTCCATGCAGCTTAGGTTCAGGGCCATGGGTCCGCCATCCTGACTCCCTAACACTGAGGCCCTAATAACTGAGTAGCATTCTTTGAGCAGGGACTGCAAGGCACTAGGCCCTGAATCCCTTCAGCCAAGCTCCATACGCCACTGAGTAGTATTACCTCATACTATTAACTAAATTTGGGCATTAACCGAGACCTGAAGAGTTTGATCTCTTTCGGGCTCGAGCTGAAGATACAGTGCTTTCACAGCTAGGCTTCGTTTCAGAGCTCACACTTGGACAAGCCAGTGGCAGCCAGTATGCTTGGTTTAGGGTCTAATTGGTTTCGGGGCACCGGAGCGTCAAAGTGAGTATGCACAGCCTCACAAGACCCAGACCCAGACCTCACATTACGAAATGCTAGCAACAATGTTCTCTAAGCAGAAGTGCGTAAAGATGGTCGGAGTGAGAACACGGCGTTATTCCCGAGTACTGTGCTTATCGTCATGTGCATGCATACTGCAGTAGGATTAATATATAGCGACGCCGATCGCAATACCGCGTCAGTAGACTGCGGCGTCAGTAGACCAAGTGAGCAAACACATTGTACGTACGGTCTCCTCCTGCGATGTGCGGCTTCATGATTGTTAGTCTGCTTGTTCCTACGGTTGCTGTTGCTGTATGGTAAGGATCAAATATTATACATATACATAAATCAATATATATATATACACATACATATATATATATATACATATCTATATGCACATATATATCTATATATATATATATGTATATAGGTATCATAAACAGGATGCGGCGACTCAGGTCTCTCGTCTTCTGAGCTGAGCCTGGTCACGATGCATAGGCAACAGTATGAAACAAAAACAGAACTTAGACCAAGTACACGTAGGCAACATTGTAGTTCCTGTTGGGGGATTGCCTTATAGGATCCCAAATATAAACCACAAAATGGAACTGCAATGGAGCATAGGTAGAGCTTCTCTGAGACGTGATGTTTTTGCTGCGGCGCCTGGGGTACGGATTCGCCCACGCCGACCTCGAGTCTTGGCAGCAGCAGGTGAAGGGATGTGCAATGTACTACAGGCGCCGCCAACACGGGAATATTCAGAGTTTAGGAGCCTGCGGAAAGCCACACGAGATTAGGAGTTCAGGGTTAAGAGCAATAGAATTCCATCTCGCACTTCGTCCTCAAGATTTCAGACGACACACCTCCCCTGGCAAGCCGTGTGACATTCGCCGCAACACCTCCGACTGCACATCGGCCACGCGCATCCAGTCCTCAGTAGCAGAACAAGGCTGATCTGCTGGTGCACAAATACTTGTATGTGCCTACATGTTATTCCGATGGGCCTCATATTCCCACTCACATAAGCACTTTCATGAGATGCAGTGCAGGCGGTGTACATACGAATGTTTCTACCTGCCTACCTCCGTGCCCGCCTAACTACAGCTGTCTTGCCGGACACGTGCCTCTGCAGTATACGGACAACGAGAACAAGTGGTCGTATGGAAATGAATCTGCTGCATCTGTTCACAACAGGAATGTGCCAATATGCAGATGACTATAGTTTAAGTTTGTGTTATGCTCGCTTGCATGCTAACATCCTTCCTTTTATTTTACACTACTCGGACTGTTTGTGTTATGACATGCACAACTTGCAAGCTTCTGCTGGTTCAGTCCGGCGGTTTGGTTCAGCACAGTAGCCTGTGATTTGCACTGCCCCAATCAAAAGCACACAGAGTGTTCCAGCGATGAAGCTTTTCCAACTCACGACTCTGGGTAAACTAATCAGTAACTAATCTACTGCCCTGAACCCGAAAATAAAAGTCCTCACAGATTTGGAACAACCGCGGTGAAGACAAAGTTTGGGCAGCCGAAAGACGGACCTGGTTGCCTCAATGGTAGCAAACACTGCATGAGCGCTGCAAACTGGGTGCCATACCGGTATAGAAGCCACTGTAGCCGGTGATCGCCATGCACTAGCCTGGACTCCTCCCCCTTTGAAGGGTTGCCAAACTGCTCCGAGAAGAAACAGACCAGAACTCAATGTTTCCGACTACCCACTAACTTGGTGAACCCAGAGTTCGGTCAAAAGGTGGCTCCTCCGGACTCGTGGCACTTTGGCACACAGCACGGGATCTTGACAGCAATGGCGGCAGAAATGCAATGACGTGGCTGCGGTGCCAGCAAACGATCACCATGACGAGTGGTCACCCACACTTCATGTGCTTCAGAGCTTCTGGCGTACTATCCCCCTTAATAACCCCTATATAATTTAGGGCTTAGGGCTTAGGCTGTGAGATGTCAAGTTTTGTAATGGGCGGTTTGGACTTCAGGCTCAGGAGACAACGAATGAGGTCTAGAGCTTGCGGGGGGGATCCAGGAGGCTCAGGGTTTACGCTCTCACGACTCGGACATGCCAGGCGAGGTTCTTGGCTCAGGGTTTAGGGTTCAGGGTTTGAGATCAAGTTTGAGATTTAGGGTGCAGGGTTAGGATTTAGGGTCTAGGATCTGGAACTCAGGGTTTACGAGGTCGAAGGGCCCACATCGCCCCATGCTTCTTATTTTGGCAAAGGCCAAGGCCTTACGTAAATGGAAACTCCAATCCCGAACAATCGCGGAAAAGGGAAGCCAGCAAAACACATGAAGCCAGATTCTCGCTGACATCGCGCAATAGCCATGCACAGCTGCAGCAGCAGCCGATGCAATCATTACTAATTGAGTGCTGATGCACGTACTTGCACCTCACCGGCTTCTGCTCAGCCTGATGCGCTGCACAGCATGTAATGTGGCAATCACAGCTGTTCGGACCTTTGCCGGTGCGAGCCGGCAAACTTGCGCTCCAGCTCTTTGAACACCGCCGTTCTGTTCTCCTTCACCTTCTCCGCTTTGAGGCGATCGCGACGCTGTCTGAGAATGGCGAGTAGCTTGTCACAGCTCGCCTTCTTGCTCTCAATCAGCTGCTGAGCTGCTCCGAGCGCATCCAGACTTGACATGTCCACGAAGTTCAGGAAGGCACTTTCAGCAAAGGCCATGCCTGGAAAGTGCTCAAAATCGTCGGAGAAGCTGCCCAACTGAGTGGTGCTCCCCGATGCCCTGGACTCTTGAACCTGTGATTGATCAGCATGGCGCTCCCTGACTCGTCTCGGCGCAAGCAGAGAACTGAAGCTTTCACGGACGATCGCCTCAAGCTTCTCATCTCTTTTCTCCATTGCTAGCGTCAGGAGCGACTACAACGTCAATTCGGCCCCTCTGTGTACACAACTGCCGGCAACTCGCTGCAAACAAACACTTCGGGCACTTGTCACTAGTCATCCATGTTTGAGTACCCAGCTTCAGCGTTGGCCTTGAGCATTACAACGAGCAAAAAGCACCTTCGATACACTGTGGAACAAAACAACAAAACTGCCTATTCTGCAGCAGTTTCGGTTTCGGCGGTTTCGGCATTTTTGCAGGGGGGTTTGATCTTTTGTTGGGTCACGTTGGCCACTGGATGCCCAACCCACCCATTTCCCAAGCTCCGCACGTTCAGGTACAACTTCTCCAATGGAGCCTGTCAGGCCAAAAACTGAAGATGATGGAAAGGGTGGGATTCAGGGGGCACATGGGCTACATTATACCAGTCCACAAGACCTGAAGTCTGGCAGCCGGGTTCCTGCTCAATCTCAGGTGGGTCGTACTGCGCCATCTGCTGCATGTAGAAACTCCTGAACGGATTCGGGTGGATGATCCGAAAATTGATTTCCAACACTGGCGAACTCAGTGCACTTAAGAGCAGCGGTGTGTTGACTTGCAACGAAAGACACCCGAAAGCTTCGAAACCATGGTGCATCCCTGAAGGCTGTTTAGGTTTAGAGTCGACAAAACTGCAACTTGCAGGGATAGGTTGCAGCTGACCCGAGGCAGAAGAAGCGATACCTCAAGCCAAGCCCCAAAACAAAGCAGCACATCAGGAGCTTGACTTTGGATCCTCTCCAAGAGGTCCTTTAGACCCTGAGCAAAACTTCCGGCACATCGGGATATTTGTAAAGGCCTGTGTGGAAGCCAAACCCCTCATCAAATGTAGTCCATAAATGGTCAACCTTCGCCGTTCAGGTTGGGGTCTGTAAGGGTTGTCTCTGCAATGCAAAAGACTCCGACAGCTACTGCAGGGTGAGCGGCCCAGGCAAGAAGTCCAACATTCTACTCCATTTCTTCAACATCTCTGCGAAACTACCGGAAGAAGCTGTGGCGGCATTTGAGGGGGCTTTCCGCGATGTGAAAAGGCTTGAGTGGTCCTGTTGGCCCCTTCAATATTGGATTGAGGCATTGGGCCCACTGCTCGGGCATCGGCACAACCAGTCCTCTTTTCTGAATCTCAACCTCAACCTGTTTACTGGAGAGCCAAACCTTGCCAACTTTCGTATCGTTTTACAAGCAGAATGACCTTCACTCGAGATCTTGCTGTATGCCGGCTGTACATCTGCTGCAAAAACGCGCGGGTAGACGATGCATAGATACATGCATGGGAACCATGTGTCAAACGCATTCATACATGTCATGGTATGCCCAGACATACGTACATGAACACAGGAGCGCCCACACAGAGAGAGCGAGAGAGAGAGACAGCGACACAAACACACCCTGAACCTTTTAAGCCCTGAAGCACCAGCGCGCCAAACCCTAAACCGCGGAAAGCCGACCGCTCGAATGTGTTGGGGTTTTCGGCCTCGGCACCAAACGGATGGCCACACCGGGGAAGACGCGGCCTGGATCAGGGTTCTTGCTGCAGGGGCTCACGAGGCTTTTTTCGAGTTGCATAGAGTGCTACCAGGGTATTGATAGTGTTTGCTAAGGGTTCGCGGTGTGAATGTTCGTGTCATCATCGCGAGACCATGAACATATGGGGCAGTTCCGTGTTGGGCTGTAGCTGCATGGTTTATCGGGCCTGCAAATTCAACGTATGGGAGCTGGCTGGACATTATTCTTTAGTTACTTAGTTCTCGCCAGCTCCAGACTAGGACGCTTGGGCAAGGAGAGCTGGGCGATGCACACAACTTGAAGTATGTAAGGTACAGGCCAGAACGAAATGAGACAGCTTTGCTTCCAAAACTCCGTGCAAATCCATGTGAAAAAATCGATGGCCATATTGCCTGCCAATCTCGACACTCAACCAGTGTCCAACACCCTGTGGGTCACAAGCGCTTTCTTAAATCCCTGTAACCCCAAGGTCCCAAAAGCTGTCTGCTAAGCAAGGCTGCAAAAAAGAGCGGAAAACCCCGATTTCCTTGGCCGCTCGCCTGCACGGCCTGACCGTTGTGATGCTGCTGCATGAGACACCCACCTCGGCGTTCACTTACTCACTGTCGCTCTCTTTCTCTCTGTTGGGCGTCTCTCTCTCTCTCTCTCTGTCTCTCGCTGTCGGTTTGTGGCATCTGCTTTGACGGTTGAGCGGGTGAGTTTCCGGGCCTGAACACAGCGTCTGAGTCGGGAATCGGCAACTGCTACATGGATCTGTGGGCAAAGCTTCATGGCAGTCACCGTAGTCCTGCTGTGAGCACATCGTTTTGCAGGCTAAGGGCTGTAGGGCACTCGAGGTTTGCTGCGGGCATTGACGGTTCCGATTCTTGTGGTCCCAGTTCGGCCACTCATCACCGGTGCTGGTGGCGTAGGTCAGCCATGCAAGCGACAAGCGGCAAGGGCTGTCCGAGCTCATCGCTAAGCAGGCAGCCAAGATCGAATGCACAATTAGGTTAGGGCTCTTAGGATTGAAGAAGCTGTCCATGTAAAGATCCTGCCTGGACCCACGAGGCAGGAACTGTGTCAGCAAACAGCGAACGCCGTGCTCTGATCGGCCTCGTAAATGTCAGCCACGCTACGGCCTTTAGGGCTTACTGTAGGGGTGTTGGCTTCGCTCATACTCGGACGCTTCGCTGCAGATTTTCTCTATTTTGGAATAGCCAATGTGGAGAGCCCAACTCAAAGATTAGAGATGTACGTATGCCATGCGACCTTCGGCTTAGGGCTTTGGCTTGGCTCGTTTTGGCTATCCTAGACTCAAGAAGGGATCAGGCTTTCACAATTCTGCTTTTCGCTAGTCTCCTACTTACACTCTTTTTGACATGCCCGCGAAACCGTGCTAGAAACGATCTCACAACAAGTCAGCAAAAAATAGAAACAACAGCTAGAATCTAGAACCCGGCGGAAGCTCCTCCCTCAAAGATCCATGAGGAAGTTACGAGCTCGGATGTTGCAGGAGTTTGGCAGAAGGCTTGGTTGCGAGTTCTAAGTCCGCCTGCTGCCAATTGACGGCGAAGGCATGCGTCAATCACGACGCGCACCTGCGAAACACACAGGGATCTGGTGCACTTGATAGGCAAAGGTTGAAGGACCTTCCATCGTTTCTTGATTTTTTGTCTTCTGGTTTTGTCTTCTTTTGAGCGTTCGAGTCTGATCAGGGGTGCATATACGAGACAAAAATCAATTGATCCTACATTCCGCCTGTTTCTATGTAAGCACGGTTTGTCCTCTATCTATGTATCTATCTATCTATCTGGTATAAACACGGGCACATACTATATATACATACACATGTTCATGTGTATATATGTATACATAGATGTGTGTATATATCTTTACCATCTACTTCTACACCTACATATGGATATGTATATATATATATCCTTCTATATCTATCGGTCTTTCTGTCTGTCTGCCTATCTGTCTATCTATCTATTTATCTACATACCTACATATAGCTATCTATGTACCTATCTATCTACCTATGTATCTATCTGCACACTATCTATCTATCTATCCATCTATCTATCTATGTATACTGTATGTATGTATGTATGTATGTATGTATGTATGGATGTATGGATGGATGGATGGATGTATGCATGTATGTATGTATGTATGTATGTTAGTATGCGTTTATGCAAGGCCTTGGGAAGAGTCACCGAAGACTCGGCGATACTCGAGGCCAGGAAAATGTGACAGACCTCTGGCACTGCAGGGCGAAAGGGGCCTTAATGATTAGAATAGGGCTTTTGGGGTTTGCACCTAGGGGTCTGGGTTTGTAGTTCGAGGGTTCAGGGTTCAGGTAGGGTTTGAGGATTTAGGTTTAGGGTTTTAGGATTTAGAGTTCAGGGGCTCTGGGCCGTGTTTCCGAACATCCGTGGGTTGAGTATCTTCTATCTGACGCATGGTTTTTTTCTAGAGGGGAACATGCCAAAAAAACAACTGTGGGGCAGCTAGGCGGGCGAAGCGGGTCGTTTGTGCACTTCCGCTGCGATACACCTGCAAGTGGCCGTCGAAGCGCCTAAGCAATGGTTAAGGGGTGACATAGCTACTGTACCTAGAGATCACAGCTTGCATCGCTGCAAGCACGAACAGCAAGGATAATGAATACGTAGTGGTGCTAATCATATGTCCCAGGCTGAACCTCCAAAGAGTGCACTTCCAGCCCACGAGCGCAAGGCATTCTCTGAAGGCGGCGAGAAGGCCTGCTTTCGTGTCTGGGCTCAGAACTATACTTTCGGATTTATGCTGCCATGTGATTTGATGCCGGGAAAGATAAATATTACCGGCTCCGCCGGCTGATTCACTTGTGCGTCGGGGGATGTTCTGTGCGTCGTCTTTGAAGACGATAGGTCATGTACGGCTCTCGGCGGGAGGAGACTTCGAAGTTCGGGCTCCCTTAAAGTGCCGGCTTTAGGGTTTTAGGGCGATACATCCTGTCAAAGACTTTCAGGACCTTGTCCGCCAATAAACTCGCGGGGCTGCAGTCCTCAAAAATACTTCAAACACCAAACCCCGATGGAGCCCGTCTAGAACCCTACAAGAAGCCTTGCGCCCCAAATCCGTAGAACCCTTCTCGGTTCCTATAAAACCGATAGCAGCCGAAAACCGATAGGAGCCGACAAACACCTTGAAACCAGTTTCTGATGCTTCGCCTGCTCCTGCTCGTCGATGGGAATGGTGCTGTGCAACGAGAAGATCTTGAACCTTGAGTTTTGTATTTTCAAGGGCTCAAGGGTTTACAGCCTAAAGGCTCCATTGTAGTTCCTTTTTGTAGTTTATATTTAGGATCCTATAAGGTAATCCCCGAAAGGAGCTACAGTGGAGCCTATGGGTGGGGTCTGGGTGGAGGGATTCGGGCGAGATGATCAGCGTTTCGACCAAAGGAGTGCAATGTTATCGCATTTGCCGAACCCCGGAGCCGCTGAGGCAAAAGCTCGCAGGCCGATTTCCGTGGTGGCTGATGGGATCCTGGCAGGAGAGAGATCTCCTTGAACATACACACGACTTCTCTAAGAAGTGGGGTTTAGGAGTTTTAGGGTTGCATGCGGCTTACGGTTGGGGTTCAGGGTTCATGTATTTTTTGTTGCCAGGGTTTAGGGCTTATATCGGGGTGAGTTGTTTACATGTCACTTGCCTTTGGCGTCTCGCACGATCCCGTTCGGCTGGCTGTGAGGGTGTCGGGTGCAGGAGCCTCGATTGGGGGGGGGGGGGGGGGTAGGTTCTGCCTTTGAAATATATGCATAGCAGCCCATGGGTGGACATGTATACCGCCCATATACCCCGGAGCAGCCTAGCCTAGTCCCCCCTGGGACTTGTGGAAAAGGTATCAGTCTACGCCCCACTACGGGGATCGAGATCATGTTTAAACCCATGTGCTCCTGGCATTTTTTGACTGAAGCAATCCAAGCGATCTGCAACAGCTAACCTCGCTTCTCCCAGCAGAACGGGCCCCCCATTGGGTCAGAGCCTGTCTTCGGCGTCAGGGCTTCTTCGTCGGTTTCCACGTATTATATAAATGTAGCTCAGGGGTTTTGGGGGTTCTAGGGTTTTGGGATCCGGTGCTTCGTAGGCTCTATCTGCTTGGTCGGTTTAGGGGAGCTTGTAGGTTTGGCCAGGGTTTGGGCCTAGAGCCTAGAAACTCAAAGGTTTAGTCGGGTGATAGATACTCTTTTGGATCAAAGATCCGCCAAAACCCTAAACTTTCCCAAAGCGACATCAAACAGACCTGGGATTGAACCACAAGGTCTTGTCGGGGTATGCGTTCTTCCTCTAAGGGGTTCGATCTTTCGATCTCCCTTTGAGTTCTTTCCGTGTCTCGCACCCTCATGCGAGGCGCAACAGATGATCCATGGCCTCTGTTCGAGATTCGATCGGGTTCCTTCGAAGGTACTGATGTTTTGATAGTCGCCTGTGGCTTGCAGGTTCTGGGTTTAGGGTCTGAGGGGTTTTAGCTGCATAGTGGGCTGCTGTGCGTCTGCGCCCGGAGCAGTCCGCCTCTGTGTAACAGGCTGCATAACGGTGCAGGCAGGGCGTGGAACATCCGGGGAGGTGCATGCTGTGTGAGGTTTGTTCGGGGACAAGGCGGTACCTGCTCGTGGATCGGGGAGGCTGCCAGGACTCGCAATCTTCCCAACTTATGTCGGACTTCAGGCCCGACTTAGATTTTAGGTTCTTGGGCGCCCAAGCTGCGCCCCTTTAGACTAAACACCTTTTCAGCCCTAGCTTTGATTCTTCGGATTGCAAGTCCAGGCAGATCATTGGCTGACTTGGTCAGACAAAGACTGGCAGCTCGTCCGCCACGAGGTGCTTCCATGCCGTCATGAAGTGATCCCAGTCCTCCCAGGATCTCATGTGAACACGACATAAGCCACGCAAATCCTGACCTGCGTTCCACGCCCCGGACCCTCACGAAGAATAAAACATCAAAGCCTGAAACCTTAAACAACGAGCATTTGATTTAGGCTCCATCTGCAAGCGAGTTCACTTCTTTGCATGTGCTAGATTTGTGATACCCACATTGCTGGTAAACTCCGATTCCAAGGAATTATTTATTTCTATGATCTCGATATGGTTTTGATATGCCTTCAGGAATCCTTCCGGTTGCGATTTTCTTATGATTTCCTTATAGTCTACGATTGTGTTGCGATTTGGATACGGTTTGGATACGAGTTTGATACGAGTTTGATACGATTTCGATTCGTCTCCAGCCTTCTCCAGGACTGGTTTTGATGCGTTTGCTATGTTTTTGAGATGGTTTTCGGACTTGCAGCGGAGCTGCTTTCGGAGCCGTGCTTTCCCGCGTAGACGTTTGAAATCGCAACCAGAACCGTATCAAAATCGTAAACGGCGAAAAACCCTGAACCAAAGGAAAACCATAAGATAATCATGAATAGAATTCCCGGCGCCTACCCTGGCTTTCCCAAGGCTGGGCTTCACAATGCTAGATTCTTGCACTTCCTGAAGGCCAGCGTTAACCTAGCTTCCAAAACTGATGAGCGATGGGCAGATTGAAGGGAGACGCCCTTCCTGCTACCCCTCATTGCTGAACAGAGTTTCATGCCCAGGGCCCTGATCAAACCGCAAACACAAAAGAATAAGAGGGTTGAGCCCTTGGCGACTGTAGGTCCTGCTCCCAACTCCGCAGCGCGGCATCCTTCTCCACACCAGTCAGCCCACTGAACTCGAGCCTGAGACCACGATTGCCGCCGGGCACCAGGGGAATGCATTCTGGAGTTTCCAGGATGTGTTCATCCTCACATTCGCGATTGCATCCCGGGCAGAGAAGAGTCTTTGCGGCAACTGGCGGCAGCCCAAACGAACGGTTCGCTCCATGAAAGAAACCCCTTCATCCCAAATCTTTTCGCCAAGACGCGAATTCCGAGCCAGCGTTTTCAAGGTGCGGGTGTTGAG